TTACAAACCCTTAGGTTTCAAACGCTAACAAAAAATCAGAGCAAAAGAATCAATTTTCTTGTTTTCTTCTGGATTTCCCATTGCATTCCATGTCTTCCATCGAAGCACACAGGAATAAAGAATTGCTCTGTTGGCTTCAGCGCCAAAATGGTTGGCACAGCTTATCTATTCAATCTTCTGCTTAATCCTAAGAACCATCCACACATCTGCATTGGTCATGAAACACCAACATCTCTCTTTTGGATAACCTGGTCATGGTATATCGTGTCTGAAACTTTGCTCGGTGGCCAATACCGAAACACGGATCTCCCAATGACGTTCTTCATTGGAAGTGGACCCCTGCATTTCACGTTCATCACATCATCAATAAATCAACAGAGTTTCCACAGTTTTAAGACAGAAGAACCGCGAAATTACAGATATCTTTCAAAGTGGTTACCAGTTATGAGAGTCAAAGCTTTTGTTACGGTTGTCCCCTAGAACAAACACATAACCTTCAGGAACGAACTGCAAACAAACAGGAAAGCAAAAGGTTAACTTAGTAGCACTCGTTTTGACAACATTTAGGTCGACAATTAATTAAATTAGGAAGTACAAGTTTGCTTACCATCGGTTCCATCTCATAGTCGATCGGCTCTAAGAGAAAATTCTCTACTTGAACACTGCCATTCACTAAGAGCTTTCCATCATGAACCTAACACGATATAGCATTGACAGGTTAGACAAAATATTGATACAGAAATAGAAAAAAATAAGATGAGTCTGTTTCGAGGAGACTGGTTGTCAAGAAGCCACTACAATAGTAATACCGATAAAGGTGATTCAATGGTTGAATAGAATCAATCAACAAGTGAATTAGATATAAGGGCTTACTTCGACCCAGTCACCTTCGCTTGCAACTATCCTTTTTATGAAAACATCAGTACAGTTGTAACCATGTTCCTGCAATTCAAAGGATAATATCAAGCACCTTTGAAACGGGTTTTAAAACATTTGAAAAACAAGAAAGAGTGATTTTGAGACCTACCACCAAAACAGGAGGAGCCTTGAAGATAACTATATCTGAAACCTCTGGCTTTCTGAAAAAGTATGAGACCTGACCAACACCAAAGCACAAAGACATCAAATTGATTACTGCAGATCAATAAACTCATCAGTCACTCATACATGAAACCACACCACCATTTTAATGAAGTGTTGGTTAAAGCCACAATTTTTCAAAACTTGAAAGATCACACATCAACATAAGATCATAATCAAATGATACACCAGCATGGATAAATGCAACCAGAAACCAGTATTCTCACCTTCTCAGCCATAACACGATCACCCACATCGAGAGTAGGGTACATAGATGTTGAAGGTATAGATTTAGGCTCAGCCAAAGCCGATCGGAAAAGGATAGAAACAGTCACCGCCGTGAAAGCTGCCTTAGCATCCTCCGAGCAAATATTCAAAAGCTTATTAACCCATCCGTTTCCAACATTCGAGCCTTTACCACCACTTAACTTAGTCAACCTCGCTTTTGAATCACACACCGTTCCTAACCTATCAACCTCAGCAATCTCCGTCGATAATGTCGCCGGAATGCTACACGGCATCCACCTCGAACCCTTGAAAAACGGGATTACAGAAGAAGTCTTAAATGGCGAAATCCCAAGCATGTTCATACCCGAAAACTCTGAAGCTCCTGTCAATTGCATGATTGAGATCATACCCAACACAAGCGGACTCTTGCTTCCTTCTTCGAGGATTTCCCTCGCGATGGTACTGTACATTGAAGCTGGTCGGAAACGAGGGGTTGAGCCGGAGACCCAATTGTTGGATCCGGAAGATTTATCCATATCGGGTTTCTGACTAGGGCTGAGGAATCTGGGACGGATCCAGCATTCGAAACATGATCGGACGTCTCCGGTACCGACGCGAGTCCCGGCGGATGCAGCAATGTTTCTAGCAACATAGCTAGAGTACGTGAAGGTAACCCTAATCGCCATAAATGTAGATTTGAAGAAGAATTGGACGAGGTAAGGGTAAATCGAGGTTTCGAAGGTAACAAGGTTTTAAGGAAGACCTAGAAAGAATAAGCAACCGATTGTGTTAATCAATCGGGGAATTGGAAGGTCGATCTGCCGGCGAGAGAAACGGAGACTGATTCCGCCGGCGAGATCGAGTTTTCAGGTGAAAAGTAGATGA